TATAATTTTTTAAATATAATACAATAATAAGTTCTAATAATTTCATAATTTAAAGGATTTAATTTTGAAAAAAAATCTCATTATGTTTTTGATACAATTTATATTGCAAGTGAGTGTAAAAACCAAGTTAAAACATTTGTCCATAATTATTATATATTAAAATGTAACAAAATTGAACTATTTAGATTAGTTGAATTCTCTTTGTTTTTCTTTTTAAAATTTCTACTCATTACAATATATTTATTGCATTAACATTATTGTAGTAATACTTTTGATATATTTTTTTATAAAGAATATTATAGATATTCTTATAAGTTAGCAGTTCATCACAATTTTGAACAATATTCTTTGAAATAAAGTATTTATAAATTTTTATATATGTATAATAAAAAAATATATATATAAGAAAAATAAAATAAACTTTAATTAAGTATTATAAACTATTTGATAACATTTTATACTTGTAAATTTAGTATGCATTATGACAGCTAATGCTAATTTTGGCTGATATTAAGTTTATATAATAATTGGCTAATAGTAAGTTATAATTAGAAAATTCAAAACAAATATTAATTTTGAAAATATCAAAAATTTGCATTAAACCATTTTTAATGTATTAATAAAAAAAGATTTTCTTTATAATTTATTATATAACTCACTGAACTCTAATTTTAATATAATCTCTAGCACTAATTTAAACATTAATTCTAACATCAATAAACTTTATATATAATACTAAATTTTTTTATTATATTTCATATAAATGTTAGTATCAGCCAAATTCAGCATTAGCTATAATATGCATAAAAGGTTATTAGTCATAAGTAATTATTATAGATATTATAAATTAAATCTAAGTTGCAATTTCAATTATAACTAATACTCTATGTTATAATAGTTATAATTGTTATTATATTATAATAATTTTAATTGTCATAATATATATTTAAAAAATAATATATATATATCTTTTAATTAATTCATCTAGTACTTTTATCAAGTTTTTAATTACTAAAAAGAATAATTTTTGTTGAATGAATATTTTTATTTTAGTAATTGTTTCTTCAAATTTTTTTAAAAACTGAACATTATTGTAACTTTCAAATATATGCCTATTATATTTATACTTATAACAAACTATAATAACTTCATTACAAAAAATATTTAGAACATAACTAATTTGTAAATCACAATTATAGCTAATTTTTTTAGATATTTTTTGAGTAATCTATCCTTTTTCTATATATTCTTCTTCTATATAATTATTATATTCTTGCTTAGTTCTTGCATGTAAACAAATATAATATTCAGACTAAGAACTAGATGTATAAGTTTTGTATGTTCTATGAGATTTTATAAAATTGATTTTTTTAGATAATTCTTCTTCTTTTATACAATTTTTATACATATCAAAAGGCAGAATAAACTTGTGATATTCTTTACTTTCTTCAAAAATATACAATATTTGAATATTAAGATTTACTTATACATAGTTTATTATTATATTTATTATGTTTCTCTACTATTATCAATAATATTTGTATTTTTATATTTGTCAAATGTAATAAAATAATTAACATTAATATGAGTATCTATAATTAAAGGTTCTAAAACCATCTATTAACAGAACATTAACAAAAAAAAAACTCAAAAAAAAAATCCTATTAAAAAAAATCAATAATAAAATGTCTCAAATTTTTTTTTTAAAACAATAAAATATCCTAATTCTTTTTTTATCAAACATGTTCCTATATAAATTTGTTACATTTCTTTAATAAGTACAGGCAGTAATGTTTATTCAAAATCTATTACTAACATCAATTAACTAACAATCATATGCTATAAAGAAAAATAACCAGGTGATTAGCTTTCAGAAACAGACTGGTAATGATCTACAGCTCAGAATTTTCTGAACATTTACATGTGCAAAACAGTGAGTTAGTTACTTGACAGATGAATATGTCATGTAATCTACAAATAGCTTAGTTGATAAGAGGTGATTAGATTTGAAGAATGGTATGTTTATTATTATAGGTTTTACAATATATTGTCATAAAAGCAGGAAAGTATTTAGGTCAAAATGTATTGCAAGCATGAAAAACTATTGCTCAGGTAGGATTTGAAGTCTTTATTATATAATGTTATATTACATATGCATACTCACAGCTATTAAACATACTAAACTTATTTTTAACATATACATTTTTAATGTCCTGTATTACTTAAAACCCCTAAATATAATATATCCCTTATTACTACTATTACCCTTATAATTGCTAAAGACTTTATACAACTTTTAAGAGTAATAATCCTGGGAAGCCCATATTAGGTAGGTAATCGACATAGCCGTTAATTGCGTTACTGCGCCACATCGATAACCTCCTTCCACGTGCTTCCGGGATCATGTTTCACAGGTCACAACATAAGGGTACCCCATCTGAATCGCATATAAATCATACACTACGTTGTACGTTGTACAAACTCTGTTCCTGGTAAATGCAATGCTATTGTCACAGGCGAAAAATTCGTGACGGCTCGTGCATCACGATACGTAGCACAAGTGCCGATCGGGACCCAGGATCGAGTATGCACGATCGACCCCATAACGGTGAAATGTGCATAATCGTGCCCCAACGCCCAGCAAAACGAATATGCCCAAATCGGGGAAGGCATTATGACCGTTAACGGCGATGTTTCAGAGTGGCAGGATCCAAATATTAAGGGGACGGGTTAGTAAAATGCATTGGAACAGAAGTAAAATACCAACTGCATAAAAATATAATACTTACCCGGTTTAGGTGAAACCCGTGATGGCACAATTGTATAGTGGCGGAATGGTGGGAAAATGGGAATGGAACCTGAAAAATAAATAGAAATTTATTAGTAACAACGAAAATGTATAAAATCAAAGCATAATTTTAATAAAGTAATACTTATCTTTTGGCGCCCCCAGTTAGTGGGAGGAAGATCGAAGTCCCTATAGTTAACAAGTTTGTAGTATAGCGATTGTAGTAGTTAGGGCTTATCAAATACAAAAGTCAAAGTACAATAAAAATAAAGTGATACTCGCCAAATCTTTATCCACGCCTCGAAGCCTTGTTATCCCGAATTCGTAACGTTACGCGAAGTCTTGTCCGTTGGAGCGACAGACTCGCCGTTTACCCGTCGCACTATATATTTCACATACTATGTAACAATAACCAGCTATTAAGCACACAAATATTTCACACACTATAACATTTCCGGATAGATTAGGATTCTTATTAATTTAATTATTATAGGGTCCAATTACATATATAAGCTAACCCAACAAAATAAGCATGGTTCTGACCATCCCTCTAATAGCAAATGTCATCGTAGATTTCATATACCATTACTTTTTAGGATAGATTCTTTTGATATAATTCAGAATACGACCAATATATTCGGTTTTTCAATAATTGCATATAAAACCAATCAAAAACGTTAAAGCACAAACCAGAGATTCTGGAATTCTTCGAAATTGCTTATGGTTTTCGGAATATTCCAGAATCTATTGAAAATTTCAACTTGCATTATGATGACTTCTTAGCATTAAAGATATTGTTAGAGGGAAACCCAATGAGAGAAGATCTACAAAACATGACCGAAAAACGTGACCGGAATTGCAATTTGGATCGTGACCCAAAACCAGCCGTGTAACCCGATTTCTCCCCATTATATGCAAAAGAAGCCCAAGATTCGGAACAAGTCAGCTCACGATGCCAAGCCTGGGCCCCACAAACAAAGTTGTAACTAACCTAAAAAAGAAAGGAAAGATTAGCAGAATCACCACGACGCGCAACAAGGAAAAGGTGAAATAACTCACTTTCACGGCTCCTAACTGAGCCTTAGTACCGCAAGGACGTTTTGGGGTTACGCACTTGTAGCTCTATGGGCGGGACCTACAAAATAGAAAAGTTGATGAAAAGAAGGAAACATGAGTCAAAGGATGCTTTGGAGGAGATTGTGAAATTAGAATAAAAAGGAAATATTAGTAAAGAAAAAAGGAAAACGGTCACAATATACTTCCCTGACAATTCATTATAAAAACTCCTCCTTTTGACCTTAAGTGAGGGATAGACTCCTCGCCTCCCCTGATTCTTGTAATAAAAAATTAACAAAGTTTAAATAAAACAATTAATAAATTCTTGAAGTTACCAATAAAAAAATAATAAAACGTTTTTTGAAAAGTCCCTGTCATTAACTCGTAACCTTCTCGAAAGCCGCCTTAGCCAGTGCCAAATCGTAACCGCCTCATCTTGTTTTCGAGTAACGTTACGCGACATCAACGAATTCGAAGTGACAATTCGTCGCACTTCTTTTATTTGTTGGTGTTGGTATTCCGACCGATTAGCTGCTAACAATATATATAAAAATCATGCGTATTATTCTATCATGATTATGCACAGGTCATGCGCATTACACATCACTACTCATGCGATCACATAACATAGATCAGTGATCTCGGAACCTTTGCCGGAGGCGTCACATATATTAGACTTAATCCAAACAAAGTAATTGATATAGGTAAACAAATATGTTATTGTCTGATGTTACAACTTCACGCATCTGAAATTGCTTCTGCATAAAATTACTGAGTATTTAAAATCATTTTAGTGGCTAATTTCAATCAGGTGCAACTTCAGGAACCTGAAACGCAAGCGCCAACCTCAAGCACGAAAAACATACCGAATCAGATTACAATACTAATGATATTATAGATGCATTAAATTGATTAAATTGTGAATAGATCTAATATGTATAAATACAACTTTCTTTTATGCTTATAATAATTAAAAAATCGCGACTTAACGCTGTTTATTATAAGAATTCTTGTGCATCAACTCGCAATTATTTGTGTGATTCTACCAAATAATATAGTAAGTTTGATTGCATTTCGCTTATACCTTCATTCTTTTATTAGTTTTCATCAAACCTGTATAATACATAAAAAACAAAAAAAAAAAATTTTTAAAAACATGGGTATTACAATTACAAACGAAACAATTGTGCCTATAAATATTGTGGCTATTCACAATCTTCCAATGTATATTAATTATAGTAAATATATGTGCCTTTTACCTGGAAAGGCTGTCAGAATTCCTTGCAAACGGTAAGTTGGAAATTGAGTGTGAAATTATTTTGCCAAATAAGATATCTTATTGTTCACTCTACCGACATATAGTAAGCCAACTAGGTTTTTTATTTGGATGTATAGTGGACCTAAATCCGAAATTACTGATACTAAGCTTACAGCACTATGTGCTGCACGCAATATTATCAGCGCTATAAGCATGGGTTTAAGCGAGGCTAAGCACTTTATAGCAGAGAGAATTCTTGATATGGCAGCAATCACAATTCAAAATTCTGTCATGCACACTATAGTTGATCAATTAATCATGGAAGCTGAAAGTTATGCATTTACAACAATCGCTAATACTTGTGCTGATAAAATGTTTCTTGATAAACGAACCGATCGAAAGCATATGAAGACTAAGTGGATTTTCAACTCCAGATCAAAAACTATAAAAGTACAAGGCGGGCCTGTACTTTATGTTACTGATTGTTACAAAGAATTGATTGATGGCAAATTTGAATTGGAATTAAGCAAACTTGAATAATGACTTTAAGTTATAAATTATATGCCTTTTTATAAGTTTTTTTTTAAATCTAAACTGATTGATTTTATATTGTTATATTATTAGCAGAAGGATAATGTATGTCCATAAAGTTACAGTTTTTGCGTAATTTTCAATTTATGTGGCTTCAAAATGGATTTATTTCATTCATTGTTTTTTTTTTGATTAATAAAAATTTATAAATAATGTAAATTGATGCATCCGTTTTTCTATAATAATAAATATTCTTATTGCATAAATTTAAAGCACAAAAAAAAATCAAATTATATATTTATACATCCATATAATCCTGTACATAGGGCAGAAAACATATCGATTCGCTCGAAGGATTGAAATCAATGATTTTTATTAAATATGATCAAATTGTTGACCGTTGTATTGTCGTACTTGAAGTTGCAACCTTAAGCATCTGAAGTTGAAATCTGACTGAAATTAACTCTGAAATTATATCATGATAGGTTTAACTTCAAACATATGCTAAATTCAAACTAGTGTTCCGCAATGGGTACTCGAATTGGAACTAGTGTTGTTAGGCGAAACCATTTTGTGCAAATGGCGAAAGACGAAACCTAAACCTCGCGAAACTGACGAAACCTGGCGAAACCCGGCGAAACTGGCGAAACCCGGCGAAACTGGCGAAACCATTTTGTGCAAATGGCGAAAGACGAAACCTAAACCTCGCAAAACTGACAAAACCTGGCGAAACCCGGCGAAACTGGCGAAACCCCTGGCCAAAGTCAAAACCTCAAAACTCAGCGAAGATCAAGTCCTCTAATACTTTGGAAAAGACTAAGCCATGATGAATAAAATATTTCGCGTAGCTATTAAGTACAGCATGCGGCTTATATAAAAAATATAAACAAAGCAATAGCTTTTTGTTTGTATTCAAATACTATTAAAAGAAAATTATAATTCAAACATTTGAAGAAAATAATTTGCGTGTGACTCATATGAAAAATGTACAAATAAACAAAACGTTAACCATTTGTTTGTATTCAAATACTATTAGAGGAAAGCTAGAATACGGGTTTTAAAATTTATAGTTAAATATACTCAATCTTGAAATTCAAGAATCACTTATCTATATATTAATATTATTCATATAAATATATATAAAAGGTTTAATTTAAATTTTAAATAAATTTATTATTAAATTGTTGCTTTTTTTTCTTTAATATTTCATTAAAAAACATTAAGTACCATATATATGTAAGTAGTTCATTAACATTATTATAATTAAAAATCATTTTCTGATACTCTTTAGCTAGTTTTTTTTTTAAATATTAACAATAAGATCATGCTTTTAATTTTATTGAAATTCAATTAAAGTTTTTATAAAAAAAAGCTTACTTTTAAATTACATCTAAAGAATTAAGACTTAGACATATAATCTGTGACCTAAATCTACAAAAGTGACCAAGGCTTGAGTATTAGTAATAATATAAGAGAAAGAAGTATGATATTTAATCTATTAGATAGTCTAAAGATCAATTTTATGATAATTTATGATATTGAGATAAGGGATAAGGGTAAACTAGAAAGAGAATTATGGGTTGCATTTGTAAATATGTAATTTGAAGACTGTGCAGAATGTAAATACAATATAAGATCTATATTTGTTTATATATTTATTGGTTTAAATGAAAAGAAATTTAATAAAAAAAGAGTAGTTATATAATAAGAAATAGAAGTATTATAAATAGTAGAAATAATGTTAATAAGAATTAAGTCAGATAAAATAGAAATAAGAGATGATATATGAAAAAAGTTATACAATTTAAAACAGTTAAGTGTAAGGATTACTTGATATAAATTAAAAACTAAATTAACAAATATCCCAAGAGCAGTTGTATTTAGAATGCAATTAAGAGAATTAGAGATTAGGTAATAAATTTTTTGAATAGAAGGACAAAGAGTTTAATATAATAAAAAACTAGTTTAATTGCATTAATGGTAAAAATAAGAGTAAGAAGATTTATATTTATAAAAAATATAAGGGATAAGTAGTTCATCTAAGAGAATTTTAATACAAAAGATTTTTAAAATATAGAAGTTGAAGTTATAAGCAAAGTTAAAATCTTTTGATTATTATTAATATAAAACCAAGTGATTTCTCAATTGATATTAGTTACAATTGTAAACTATTATTAAAAATAATAATTATAAAGAAAAGTTTTAAGTAGATTTGTATCAATAAATAGTATTTAATTAATATATATAGATTAAAAATAATCAATATATATTGATTAGTTGCTATATATCAATATATATTACTATTAATATATAACAATTATTAATATATAATGATTATAAATTTTTTTTTTTTTTTTTTAAATATTAAGGTAAGTACTTGCGACCCAGGATTTTATTGATAGTACATTCAGCTAA